CATCGCCATGTGTCAATGAAGGCCATGAAGAAGTGGTCAAGACAGATACTTAAGGGCTTGGATTATCTCCATACCCATGATCCTTGCGTCATTCATAGAGATCTTAATTGCAGTAACATTTTCATCAACGGAAACATCGGAAAGGTATGTACATGCCCTTTTCATCTTATCAAACCTCCGATTGCTAACAAAATTTAGGAAATATCTCCCTTTTAACCAGCTAGACAATGGCACTCCTTTTTTGTTTTTATTAGGCAAATGACAATAAAACCCTTTACACTTTTGTTAACTACCTAAACTGCCCCCTCCTCCAAACCTTTACACTTCTTTTCTTTCATCTGTTAAGGACAATTTTGTCTTTTGTGCAAAAGTTACAAAATATGAGATGAGGCGTCTTTGGTGAAAAGGGCAGTGGGAATAAGGCCACCCTTTGAATATATATATATGTGTGTGTGTGTGTGTTTCCATGGTTTTAGTTTTATTTCCCACCCCTTCAGGACAACTAATTGGAGTTTGCAGAAATTTATTTGCAATAGCAAGATGCTTCCCAGAACTAATTGGTATTAAAACAAATGGGAAGTGAACTGATACTAGGACACAATTTTCCAGTTGAGGCTAGTGCTGTTCATTTACTTACTTTCTATGATGTCAGGAACTAAATGACATCTTATCTGTAGGTCAAGATTGGTGATCTGGGCTTGGCAACAATAGTAGGGAGGAGCCATCATGCTCATTCGTTAATAGGGACGCCCGAGTATATGGCACCAGAACTGTACGAGGAGGATTACACAGAGTTAGTGGACATATACTCATTTGGAATGTGCATGCTCGAAATGGCTACCATGGAGATACCATATAGTGAGTGTGACAGTATAGCCAAGATATACAAGAATGTGACAGCCGGAGTGAAGCCTCAAGCCTTGAACAAAGTCAGTGATCAAGAATTGAAGGCCTTCATTGAGAAGTGCATTGGCCAGCCAAGGGATAGACCCTCAGCCTCTGTTCTTCTCAAGGACCCATTCCTTTCTGAGGTTGACTATGATGATGATGATGACCATAAAAGCTGATGTCTCTGAAGGCAGCTGCAACTGCTGCTCAGCAACCATGTTTACTGCAATCTTTTATTTTTTCCACATGTACATAGGCATTGGTTAGTTTGAGTATTTGTTGAAAAGGAAGTTTTTTGGATTGATGTTCATTGAGCAGGCACTCAATTCAAGTTAAATGACGACATCTTGAATTGTCATCTGTGACATTCTTTTCATGCTGGAAAGGGGCAAAGTGACAATATATGTACGCCTATGAGCTTCCATTCAATTAGTAGTAGCATGTTTGTTAATCACTATGGAGGTGGTGTTTATAATTTTCAACCAAATGCAATGCCAGAGATATTAGTTTCTCAGCTAATAAACAGAGATTGAAGTCTCATAGGAGATTATTTTGAAAGGAAGGTGAATTGGGACAATTGCTGCTCCAAATACAGAGATCTTTCAGCCTTACAAACTATGCAGTGTGTCCCAGCCATAGTATTTGAATAGTTAATGACAAACTGTTAATTTTAATATCAAGAAGATTGAAACTTGGAACTGTGGATCAATGATCTCATTGCCCTGCCATTTGGTGTCTTTGAAAGGATAAATGGTTCATTGAGGAGATGAGGAATGAAAGAGAATTATGTGACCCCTCAACAATCCCCTCAGAGAAAATAAGCTTGTTTTGTGAGAACTTGGTTAAGAAATGGAGATAATGATACCAAGATTAAAGTTTCAGTCATCATAGAGGGTATTCTTGATTTACTTACAATGGGAGAGAAGGATAGTGAAGGTATTTAGCCTCCGTTTGGCAAGAGAAGTGTTTAGCCATTACGGGACAAAAAAGGCTAAATTAGTCAAATGGAGACAAAAGCTTGTCAGGTGCTTGGCAACAACCCATGCTTTGATAAATTTATCAAACTATCCCCACATGAACCTATTGAAAGGGGCATCACCTCACCACATACAAAGTTAAAAAAAAAAACCTTTTCCCCAAAAAAACCTCTTCCCCCAAAAAAAAAAAGAAAGTAAAAAAAGAAAAGAAAAAATTAAAAACAAAAAATAGCAGTTGCCATGTAATTTAAAAATAAATAAAACACATAAAAAATCATTTTTGAAAAATAAAAACAAATTAATGTATACAAATAAAAATAAAAATGACAAAAACGTAAATTAAAAAAAACGAACCACAAAAATACGCCTCATCCAAAAAAAATAAATAAATAAGAACAGAAATTAGCATTTGCCACATAATTTAAAAATAAATAAAACACATGAAAAATCATTTTTGAAAAATAAAAAAAAATTAATGTATACAAATAAAAATAGAAAAAATTAGTCTAAGGTCCCTCTCCCACTTTTCGCAATGGAAGAGATCCACAAAATTATTTTTTGATATCTAAGGTCCCCAAACATATATTTGAGAAATTTGACTCTTTATCTCTCATCCTCTACTACTGCAGAGCAGCACTTCCTCCGATTGGTGGTATCGTCTCTCTCCTCCTCCGATCGGCTCTTCATTGTAGTGTTCGCTGCGAGCACGAAAAGGTTGTTGCTGCTGAGGAGAATGACGACGAACGGTCGGCTAACGGCCCATCGTATCATGGACGCCATTATTTTCAGCCAAAGCACGTCGAGTCCTAGCGACGCGCTGAAGAAGGCCAAAAAGGTTCTTGAAGATCACCGGGAGAGAAATCCAGTCGCAAGCATCACAAAGAGTGTGAACTTGTGAAGAAGAAGTACCTTCAAGAGTGCTCTGAACGGAAGCGGCTCTATAATGAAGTGATTGAGCTTAAAGAGAATATCAGGGTCTTCTGCAGGTGCAGACCATTAGGCCAAGATGAAATTGCAAATGAGTCTACTTTTATAGTTGATTTTGATTCATCTCAGGAAAATGAGTTGCAGATTATTTGCTCTGATTCTTTGAGAAAGCAATTTAAGTTTAATCATGCATTTAGGCCTGATGACAATCAAGGTAACTTTGAAAAGTTACAAATGGTAATTTGCTTCTTACAAATGAATGAATTTATTTAATAGATTTTGTACTATTTTAAGGTTTTAATCCTTTGGTTGTTATGCAGAGGCTGTTTTCGTTCAAACTTCACCAATAGTGACTCATCTCCAGAAGTGCATCTGAGGACTATATTTGTTCCTCTGCTAAGTTCATCTACTGTATAGTTTAACATGTAACGTTTTGATTAAGCCTCTGCTTTGAATTGAAATTTCTCTGAGTTGGTCCAGAAAAATTCTCTGGTTTGAACTGAAATTTCTTTGCGTTGGTCTAGAGAAATTCTCTGATTTGGATTGAAAATTTCTCTGGATTGGTCATTGGTATTAAGATTTTTCAACATAGAGTTTGTCATTTATCTTATTTCCATCATCAACTTCTATGTCATGTTGTATCTCCAAACCACCCCGTGATGTTGAATCACAAACTTTGCCCTTCATGATCATTTCCTTCCCCGAATTGTCATCAATCTATTCTCAACATTTTCAACTCAGAGAATTTCTCTAGACCAATTTTCTCTGAATCAACTTGAGAGACCTTAGACATTATAAAAATATTAGATGTCTTTTATGCTATAAAATCTTAATACGAGGGACCTTAAAAAAAATCGCATAAAAATAAAAATGACAAAAAACGTAAATTAAAAAAAAAGAACCACAAAAATATGCCTCATCCAAAAAAAAAGAAAAAAAAAATTTAAACATAAATTAGCATTTGCCTCGTAATTTAAAAATAAATAAAACACATGAAAAATTATTTTTGAAAAATAAAAACAAATTAATGTATACAAATAAAAATAAAAATGACAAAAACATAAATTAAAAAAAAAAGAACCACAAAAATATGCCTCATCCAAAAAAAAAATTAAAAATAAAAATTAGCATTTGTCACGTAATTTAAAAATAAATAAAACACATGAAAAACCATTTTTGAAAAATAAAAACAAATTAATGTATACAAATAAAAATAAAAATGACAAAAACGTAAATTTAAAAAAAAAAGAACTACAAAAATACACCTCATCCAAAAAAAAAATTTAAAAATAGAAATTAGTTTTTGCCACGTGATTAAAAATAAATAAAACACATGAAAACTCTTTCCAAACTAAGTTTTTTAACCTTAGGCTAAAATAATAAAAAAAAACTAAAAAATCAAAAAACTAACCCACTTTTCAAACGACACCTCAAGTTAGTTTGCATTTCTCATTGCTTTCTGGCCCCGTTTGTTTTTAGAGATAAAATAGAGAAGATTCATTATGAGAGAATTAATAATAAGGAAATTAATAGTGAGAGAATTAATAATAAGGAATTGTTAAATTATTTTTATATGAAATAATAAAATAAATATAAAATATAAAAATTTAAACATTATATTTTAAAAAAAATTCCTAATATATAAAAAAATAAAAAAATAAATTCTAATCCCCTCACTATTTTTCTAATACCATCTCTACCTCCTCCTTACCAATTCTCTTTCCAAAAAAAACTACTAATATCAAGAGATTAATAGTCCCCTCCCCGTCTCTCAAAACAAACAACCCATTAGTAATACCAAGGGATTAATAATCTCAATCCCCTCCCTATAACCCCAAACAAACAAAGCCTCCAAGTCTTTTAAGCTTGGTTTCAGAAATGATCACCATTAGATTTGTAAAATCTGATAAGTACTATATACCTCACCAAGATTAATTATATATATTGTTGTTTGCACAAGTAACCATATTGTTCTATTCTCATTTTTCTATTATAGTAGAACTAGTGTTAGCCATGGCCGTAGATAATCTTGCCAAATCACATGTATAATTTTTTTGTTTTTGTTTTTATTTTTGTGATTGATTACTCTGGCAATTGTGTGATTTATTCTACACAATCACCGCATGGCAAAGTTGCAAGATCAGATTGCATCTACTTTACACTTGGCACAGGTCAGCGGGAGTAATATAAGTGCACTAGTGGAAACCCAAATGAGCCCCAAATTGCCCAACCTCATTGTATGCATTCAGAGCTATATATTCTGGATTAAAAACCTAAAAAATGCTTTAGACCACTAATTTAATACCACTAAAATACCATTAATGATGTGGCACCATGTGAATCCCACCACTAATGTGATAGTTTAGCCTCTCTTTTTTTTTCCTTGCATTGCCAGCTCATTAGAGCTGGCATTAGTGCTCCCATTTTAGAGCACTGAATCATGGATCCAAGCAAAAACATCTGAAGGAGAAGTCAGCACATACCTGGTACCAATAGGCACTGTGATTTGGAATTTGACAAAAAAGAAGTGATAGATATTTTCTACATTCAACACAAATCAGCTGCATTGCTGCCTATTTTACCATCTTTAGAACAAAAACTGAAAATACTAAAGTGCTAGTTATCTATATAATGAAAGCAAGACACTTTCTTCTATATACATATGAGAAAGGGTACAATAGCAAGACTGGAAAATCCAAATTCAACATGTTAAGCGGACAACTGATTGAAATATGTAGAAGCCAAAAGACATATATTAAGCTGTAAAGAAGCCAGAGACACTAAACAACTGCAACTTCCTCCAAATGAGAGTCACTCTGAACTTTACCATGAGATTCCAGGACATTCCGTGCTGCTTCCATGACAGCTTGTCCATTGACATAGTGCTGGCGGCATACAGGCATGTAGACATTGGAACCACCAATCAACTCCGTCTCTGTTTCATCAGTCTTCCGTAAGGTAAAGAAGGCCCGCTTGCCACAAAGCTCACATCGAGCTGTCAGCTTGGTTATGAATCGCAATAGTTATTATATCAAGCCGAGCCAAAGAGTCCTTCTGCAATAAACTTTTATTTTACTAAAAAGATGCAGTAGAAAAGGCAAATATTTTAAAGTAAAAATAATAATATAAAAAGAAAAATGAGTTAAAGCAAAAACACACAACGAAGGCTGCAAAATTTGCATTCAAGGAAAAGAAAAAAAGAAAAAAAAAATCGAATTATGCTGTTAGATAAAACTCAAATAGCCCACATCTACCCAGCAACTAGTTACGTTTTCCTTCATGTCAGCACCTCGCAAGCAAAAGATCATAAAGTGCAAAAATGAGCTTCATCAGCATCACATCCAGCTGCCAAATGTAACAGCATTTAGAGATAATAGAAAAAACATTTAAGAAAAAAGAAAAAAAAAAAAAAAAATCCAACCTTTAATATAGGGACTGAATGGTGTTAAATGATAGCATTGTTGGTTCACATTTTTAAAAAAATAAAAAAGAGAGCTAAACAGTAAGATCTTGTTTTGAATAGAAAGACAAACATATCAGCCAATTACATATT